GACACAGTGACGGACGTGGTGACACAGTGACGGACGTGGTGACACTGACGGACGTTGTGGTGACACAGTGACGGACGTGGTGACACAGTGACGGATGGTGTGGTGACACAGTGACAGACGTGGTGACACAGTGACGGACGTTGTGGTGACACTGTGATGGACATGGTGACACAGTGACGGACGTGGTGGACACAGTGACGGACGTTGTGGTGACACAGTGACGGATGTTGTGGTGGACACAGTGACGGACACTGTGGTGGACACGGTGACGGACACTGTGGTGACACTGTGGTGGACATTGTGGTGGACACTGTGGTGGACATTGTGACAGACATTGTGGTGGACACTGTGATGTGCTGTCTGCCGTTAACTCGCCTCCCATCCTTCCCCCAGGAAAGCCAGGAACCCACAGGTCCCAGATTCCTGCCCCCCATGGATTTCAGGTTACAGGCTACCACGGCCGCCCTTGGGTGAGCTTTGGGAAGCAGGAGAGAAGCTCTCCCGAGGCTCCTGCAGACAGGGGGCATGAGGTCGAAGCAGCCCCCAGGTGCTCTGTGAGAACTGCCCACCGTGCCCTGTGGGCTGAGAAGAAGGCTGAGTGAGCCTGAGAACCATAGCTTCCCTGCTGTGGCTGAGCCCTCTGGGTCACCGCGGCACCCTCGGCCTTCGCTTCCCAGCTCTTACAATGGTTGTGCAAGCCCAATATTAAATCCCCCGATACATAAGACAAGGAGCCCTGGTAGAATAATGGCTAAGCGCTCGGCTGCTAACTGAAAGGTTGGAGGTTCGAACCCAGGCAGTAGCTCCACGGGAGAAGGACCTGACAATCTGCTCCAGTAAAGATTACAGCCTAGGAAATCCTATGAGACAGTTCTACTCTGTCACATAGGGTCACTGAGTCGAAATCGACTCCATGGCACCCAGCAACAACCACAACCATATTTCGCGTGGCTCTGTCTTCCCACCCAAACCCTGATGGATTCAGAGGTCCAGGCCAGAATCCAGCTTCCTTTTCCGAGTGAGACACACGGCCACTCCAGCTTCTGACCGGGCCACATTAAATCCTATGCATTCGCTTCTCATGAACTTTT